GCAGGAGGGACAAACGACATCTGAAGCACTGCATAAAAGAAAAGTTGTGCAGTGGATTTCTCATTCGGAAATCGCTTTGTAAGGTCGGGGTTTCATCAGAATATCGTGTTATGCCTCGAATAAGAAGAAGAAATGCTTACCAGCAAGTGTCAGAATTCGATAGAGGCAGGATTGTTGCCTGCCCTAGAGTGTGGATTATCATTCCGTAATATTGCCACTCGCACTGGTCGAAATCCAACCACTGTCATGCGAATATGGAATCGATGGGTTGCTGAGGGTCTTACTGAACGGCATGCAGGATCTCAACGCCCTCCCATGACTAACGCCCGAGAGGATGGACATATTGTGAGGTCGGCCGTGCAAAACCGTACAACCACATCATGGACCATTAGTCAGGAAATGTGCTTGTTTGCAGCATGTCCAGTATCTGCTCGTACGGTGCGACGACGTTTGCAGCAGCATGGACTGTCAGCACGGCGACCATTACTTCGGCTTCCCTTGACAATGCAGATTAGAGAGAGACGGCGACTCTGGTGCGGCCAACGACCAAGCTGGATACAGGTGTGGCACAATGTTGTCTTTTCAGATGAGTCCCGGTTCTGCTTGCAGCATTATGATGGCTGTATACATGTCTGGAGGCTCTGAGGAGACCGCTCGTTACCTGCTCGTATTTGATATTGGCATAGGAGCCCTGCACCTGGTGTGATGATATGGGCAGCCATTTGGTACATTACACGCACATCTCTAGTTCGGATCGACGGTAATTTGAATGCAGATCGGTACATTTCTGACATCTTACGTCCAGTGGTTGTGCCCTATCTTCGAGGCCTGCGAAACGCCATCTTCCAACAAGATAATGCAAGACCTCATGTTGCACGTCGTGTTCTGACCTTCCTCAATACAGAGGGTATTCGATTGTTGCCCTGGCCTTCACGGTCTTCAGATCTCTCACCAATTGAAAACATCTGGTCATGGGTTGCTGAGAGACTGACCCGCCACCCCTCTCCTGCTAATACAGTCAATGAAGCGTAGCATAGACTTGAAGCAGCATGGAACAAGTTGCCCATTTCTGTCATCCAAGCCCAGTTTGAATCTATGCCTAACCGGATAAGGGCCGTTTTAGCTGCCAGGGGTGGCAACTGTGTCTACTAATTTCGCACCCCTGTAAACCTTCAAACGGCTTGCAAATTTAATCATTTTGTCTTTATGCCATACTGTTTATGTACAATAAATATCTTTTTTTTATTTGCTTTCCTTCTTGGTGTTGCAATTTTAATGGCCAGCAGTGTATTTAATAAAACACCCGTTCGATCAATAATGATTGGTCCAAAAATCAGTTTCCCTAAATGTATTTTAGGAAATTTCCGACTGCAAAATTATAGCGGAGCAATTTATTGTTGTATTGTCTTATCCTATCAATGAGATTCGTGTACTATCCTTTGCTAGAAAATTGTTTTGGAAGAGCTGTATGCTACTAATTAGATTCAGTCATATTATTAAAAGCTTTAATCGTTCCTAAAAGAATTTTACATCTCGGTTAATTGAGTGTGGCCCAAAAGCCACCCTGCGAAAAATCTCTAACGTTACAATTAATTGGTGTAAATTTAGGCGATTTTATTATGTTATTTGGTATTTTGAAAATATATTTAAATAAGAACTTACCTCTTGTTTAAACTGCGTAAATGTCTTATTTATTTTTTGAAATGGCACAGAAATGGCAACATCGTCTCCATATTTATCAGCCGCTGCGTCTACTACATCGCCGAGAGTAGCATTGGAAAAAGTAAAACCTCCAGGTTTGTGCCAATAACTTGCGCTTATTTTATTAAAGCTTTTGTCCTTAGAATAATTTCTGAAAATTAATTTTCGAAATAAAATTCCTGTAATTGCAGTAAATTTTAAATGTAATACGGACAACTGACAATAGATTTCCAAAATCGGCTAAACGCAAACCATTATCATACTTGGAAGTTTTATGTAGTTCTTCCCAACTGCCTTTCGATCTGTTAGTCCTCTTCAGTTACAAGATTAAATAAAATTTCAAACTTTAATCGCTGATAATAGTGGGTTTAGGTTGATTTTAGCCACGTTGTTCCCTCTATTGAATCTAGTTACGTAACTGTTATTTTTGTAATAATTATCCACGGTTAAAAGTATATCATTCAATATATTAAAGATAGAAAACTCTTTTCTTTACATTTTAACATATTAAACAAAAAGAAAATAAATAAATTAATTATTAACTACGGTTGTAAACTTTGTATAGTATCGAGTGATATATGATTCACATTACATAAATTTAGATAAAGCCTACGCTGGCCACAGAGCCTCGCTCAATCTGAAACCTTAACTATTGTATTGAAATATTAAAATCGTTTAGGCTGGTGATTATAATAAAAATAAATCTTTTGCACGTGTAACATATAATTGGCGGATAAGGAAGTTTACAGTAATTAGTTATCACTGCTAGCCGATAAGCTTGCAATGATTATAAACAATAATTATTTAAAAATAATAGTATTATATGATTGGTTTATAAAATAAAATANGTAAAAATTGAATGTGTCTGTAGAAGTAATTTTTTAAATATCCTTATTCGTAATAAAGTTTTAATGCTTATTACTATAATCTAGACATGTTAATCCTTAAATAAAACAAATATTTGTGTTTTTCAAATAAATTTTTGTTTGTCTTTTTTGTAATAAATGAATTTATTTATTTCTAAGTAAAAATTGAATGTGTCTGTAGAAGTAATTTTTTAAATATCCTTATTCGTAATAAAGTTTTAATGCTTATTACTATAATCTAGACATGTTAATCCTTAAATATACTTGTATATTTAAGGATTGGGCCAAAATATACTTGGATAACAAGTATATGTAGCCTATTATACTTGTAGCCCAAAACTCCATGACTTCTTCCAATGTGTCCCAGAGAAACAAAAAGGTTGGACACCCCTGGTGTATACAGTTGAACCTGTCTATCTCAAACATATTTATCTGGAAAACCTCTTTATCTCGAAATTTATTTTTTCTCCTGTATTTACAATCTAAATTCAATATGATTTCCATATTTATCTCGAATAATTTTCTCCGAATACCTCTAATCTTAAATTATAGACCGAAGTGTCGATTCAAATTCGAAATTACATTTATATATACATTTTGATAAGATAAACTTCAGTTGAGAAACATCTTGCAATACAAGACGTAGTTTTAATTAATGCTGCTTTTCTCTGATCGGTTATGAGTTTGGCTTGCAACTTATTGGTTGAAGAAAGTCAGACATCAGAAATTATTGACAAACTATTTCTGTTAAGGTACTGTACTATAAGTCAAAAATGTCTTATTTTCAGTATATCTAATACAGGTGTGTGCTGTACTTGCTATTGTATTAATAAAATACCATATTTCCAATCAAACCTGTTTATCTATTACTGTTGATTGTGTAGAAACATTACACGTCGATTATTTTTTCTCATTCCAGATAGACAGTTTCAACTATATTTTGATAATAGAATACTTTTCAGTACACACATATTCCAATACACATTTCATTTGAAATATACTTTAATTAATTATTTAATGTATATGATCATTAGGTGGTTGTGAAATATAAATAAATAAACAAATATTTAATTACTAAAATCAATCCGGCTTTACTAGCAGCAAATTGCGTAAGGAGCCATTCGTAGTTATTTGGAGACCATATTGCAATTCGATCATTTTTTTGCAAGCCTAATCCAATGAAACTAGCGGCAAGTTGATCAACCTGCAATTAAAAAAATATATATCACCAGAAGAGTTAAAATAATTATTAATTTCTGTAACTTTACGTTATTTAAAAATGAGAAAAATATTTGTTATTTTATGTACGTATTTTTTATTTGATATAAACACCTCTTATTACAGAAAAGCTCGTAGTATATTTAAAGCCTCATGTTTACAGGGGTCTCAGATATTTTTATTTTTACAAATTATTCATTTGCATTTGTTGTGTATTAAGAAAAATTGTTGTTTTATTTATTTATTTTTGTTAAATATTACTAGGACATCGCGCGATTATGTCGTATCGCGATAGAATTGATGCGGAACCGGAAAAAAAGAAGTGATCCCTGCACTTATTAGGCACAGAAGAGGCGACCCTTGTACCCGCAGGTCACGAGAGTCACAATTTTTCCGCTAGCCGGGTACGGAACCAGATCACCAGTCAGGAAAATCAAATCAAAACATCTTTATTTTCGTTTTAAAATTTTTTGTTTTGATTTTACTGACTAGAATGTTCTATTAGCTAAACGGAAACTACACCAGCGTAATAAGTCCTATTAATAAACAAAGTCCAAATTAAACAAGGATATAATTAAAAATCAATGAAAGTCGGGACATAGATTCATTCTTTCTGCCTCTATCGAGACATACTTCAAGTAAATAATTGAACAAACGTCTACAAGGAAAAAAAAATCTGATTTTTAATAAGGTCATCATTTTACTTTCCCATCTGTTATGAAATATAATATAAGGAAAATACGGTTATCGAACAAATTTTGGTTTCTCCCTTATTTTATTTATTTATTTTTTTTTTTTTTGCATTTCTCGACGTTCTGATGATCCAAGAGTCCAAAAATAAAAAGAAACCTTTACAAAATTCTCTCTCTGTGTGTGTGTGTGAGCGTGAATTTTACATTATATCCCAGGATTGTATGAACCAAGAATTTCAAAAGTTGATAGGTTTGTACTAGGGTTTCTCATTTCCCGGGAAATTTGCCTCCAGCAGGATTACGGGAAAAATAATTTTTTTTCCCGGGATCCCGGGAAATTCCGGGATGAGATAGTAAAATAGAATTTTATATGAATAAAAAAGATCATACAGGAATATCATAAATTTGAATAATTTAATTTACTTTCTAGTAAGTAACTAAAAGTGTAGGGCCAATCTCACCCATACAGACACATTAGGCTCAATTAACTTATGTTCTCCTACATTATAAGATGAAAGTAAAATAAAGCGTTTCATTGGGAGTTTTAATGATTACGAA